AATATAATTTTAAAAGTTGTTAGAAGGATGTTAAGTGATAAGTTAAAGTATTAAAGTTCCTTGGAAAAAAAGAAAATAGATTAAGTGATACTGGGGTTAAATTACAACAATCAAAACTATAACGAGTTAATTTGGATTTGCAACAAAATTTTGATCCTTGACTATGAGATGCTTATGATAGATCAAAGGAGAGGTATGAAATATAAAAATATATATATTAAAATTTAATTTTCATATTTTATGGTATTTATAGAACTGCCATTGCATGGCAACCACCTCCAAGCAGCTTGCTGTCCAGGTTGAGGTTTCTCCACCTCTCTTTATCCGTCTAGAATGCTTGAGGAAATGGTGAAGGCTTAAGCTAAGGCTTGGATATGTTAGAATCGTTAAGAACAAAGTGAAAGAGAGGAGAGAAGTTAGAGAGAGAAAGCGAAAGCTTGGAGAATCAAATTTCTAGAGAGTGGAATTCGAGCATCAAAGGGTACTGTTCAAACTTAAATAGGATGCTAGGAGTTCATTTATGATGATTAAAATGAGTTTTGATCACTGTTTGAACATCAATTTTCATTTTCATATTTTTGGGTTTTAGTTGTTATAGAAGCGGGATTGAGTTTTGGTTTGGTTTTAGCTTGAATTGAGGTTTGAGAATGGTTTTTGGGTGTTTAATATGAAGTTTGGTGGTGTTTGGAGTGGTTGTCGTGGTTGGTGGTGGTCGTTCGAAGAAGAGGAAGTTCATGGTGAGGGTTTGAGTTTCTTGAAAATTAAAACTTTAAATTTTGAGTTTTTAAAATGTAAGGTGTATTGGGCTAGACTAACCAACCCTAGCAATCCATTGGTGTGGGTGAAAATGATAGTTACAGGTCTAACCCCAAGTTGAAAAACCTTATTTTTTTTTCAAACTTTGGTTTAATATTTAGATGAGTTAGAGTTTGATTTGAAAGGGCTCACCTATAAGGATCTGTAGAGGGCCATGAGGAGAGTACATAAGCTTTGAAAATAGGTCTAAAGGTGTTTTGTGGAGTGAGTTATAGGGGTGAGAAGAAGGGATCTTGAAACATAATTTTGACACTTGGGATTCTTGAGGAAGAAGATAAAGTGGACAAAGAGGACCATTAGACACCCCGACGGAGAGTGAGGGCGCGTCCATTGTCCAATCAACCTCTGGTCAATGCCAAAACTTCCGTAACATCCTTGCAGAGGTCTCGGTAAAATTTCAAGTGGATCTGATGGCCGAATCAAAATGAGGAGTAAAATTACTGTTTTGGACTCCGGGGTCAATTTCACTTAGTTTTTGGATGATTTTTAAAAATAAATTTTATATTCATTCTTAGGTAAGTTAATTGAGTATGTGTATGAAATTTTATTGAAAAATAATATCGTTTTATTTTTGACTGTTTTGAATCGAAAAGTAGCGCAAGGTATTGTTTCTCAATTCCAAATCAGTCGAAGTTTTTCAAATTCATTTTGAAATCATATCTTACATTATTTATGAATGTTTAGCATATTTTAATACTTATGATTGAGTTTTTAAATTTGGCTAAAAATCACAGATTCGAATGAGAGTTTTGAGTGCATTAATGCACAGTGGTCCAAAACGATAGATTTGACTGTATAAATAAGATACCGGAATCCTTTTAAACTAATTGTAACATAGTTTGAGTGACAAAAAGGGTTTACGTTCTAGTTTGAGGTTATAGAGGGTACTCATTGAATTTGTAAATACTTGAGTGATCAGTTGGTCTCCGGACTTGGATGCTGAAGTTAAGTTGTGGTGAATAAGAAACGTTACAAAACATATTCATATGCATTTATTTGCATAAATTAATTTATTTTTAATTCAATAGTTATTTGTATTTGTGCATATGCAAATTGTAAGGATCGATGACTACTACATCGATTCCACCTAGAGATCAAGCATAAAGCAGAATTGTGTGTTGATTGGCCATAACAGGTAAAATATATTGCTTCATAACAATTGAAAATAAAAGTATATGACTAATATGAGTTATTTTTACTATGTGAAATAAAGTTTTTGATGACTTGATTTATGATGAGTTGGACAAATAATGGATCAAATATGTTTTGTTGAAAAACTTATGATTTGAGTAGTATCCATTGTGCGAGAGTTGTTGTATAGCTTGACATGACTTACATGTTAATTTGGACATTGCGTAGTTGTCGTGAGACAGTTTGACATTGTTTAAATGTTGTTGTTGACTCATATCACATATGGATTATTTATTATGTTGATATTTTGATAGCGATTTGAGATTACAAAGTAAGGTGAAACACCTTATGTTTGTCGTTCTCCTCATATTGTGAATATATTTTGGTGAAATAAATTTTTTTCATTTTTTATGATACTACACTGATAAAATATTTGGTTTCAAGAAGCTGAAGTTTAGAGTGGGTCTACTATAGCACTAGCAGAGTTGAGATGAGAGGTTAAGGAAACTGATTGTGTATATATTGTAGAGGAGTGTTCGTTTGCTTATTGATGTAAGGGATGAATTCCCTAATGCTTGGTGTTGTTTTGAGTTGTATGAGATCATTAGTTGATATTAATAGTTTTAAATGCTTCCTTGCATTACAGGCACAAGTATTATCATGTGTCAAATTATATTTTCATCTTTGAGATAACAAAAAGGTCTTTCGAGATAAGATGTGGCATAGACATTCACCCTCTACTGAAGCCAACTAGATTATCACCTAGTGTCAAGCCCATCATCTAGTGTCAAGCCCATCACCCGTCCCCACTTAGTCTAGCAATATTTGATTTATAGGGACTACTACTACAAGCGGATTCAAAAGTATGACCACTAGAGAAGGGTCAGACTTTCATCCTCTACCAGAGCCAACTAGGCTACCACCATTATGATTTCAACAAATTTTGTTATCTAATGCCCACTCCTTCTTAGCCTCACCTTTACCTTTAGACTAAGACTAATTCTTTTAATAAATTTCGTGACAAAGTTCTCCAAAATTAAGCTAATGTTATTGTGACACAATTTGAGTTGAAAACTTATGTACTTAATGCAATGCTGCGGATTGACCGTTGATCCCAATATTGGATATAATTCACTTCGATAACAGTGCATTAAATCCCTAAATTTTAGCCCCAAATATGGCCTCCTAAGAGCATTTTTCTGTGAAATGTAAATGACTTCAATGTTCAAAACTCAACCAACCACTACCCCCCTCTCTTTCTTCCCCAAAAAAATGTATCATGACATTTTACCCTATGGGTTTTCCTTTTTATTAGTATTTTTTTTCCCACAAAACTGGGCTAATGAATGAACATGATCAGTTTAAAGAAAGGAACAAAATTAATTACATGCAAGCTAGTCATGCAAGATATACATATAGAGAGAGAGAGAGTGGTGAAGAGAAGTCTTACAAAAATTTGTGAAACAATAGTTGATTGTCCGAGGGGCTTGAGGCAAATGTCAACCAAGAGGGAGGTTATGGAAATTACATAGAGTTGCAACAACAGAAGAGGCGTACAGTATTCCAAAGGGTTATGGCTTCTCCACACACCACTGGATCCGACCCGTTTCGGGTATTGACACACAAGGTTGTCGTTCCCCCCCACCCGTAGCATTTCCTGCTACAATCTCTACCTCTTGTTTACAATCTCAAATCGAACTTTTAAAATTGAATTGGATAAATCAAAATTCGATTTGTTGATGAGTAAGGCTGTTAAACGGCCCACATTTTGACCTGATGGTACAAAAGCGTGGCAATCTACGACCAGCCCGTTACAATTAAGGGTATGGGCCTCCTCCTCAGGCCATCGGGCCTGTTGGACTTGGGGGATTGGCTGGATCTAGTGGCACACCAATGACCTATGGCCTGGTTGAAATATATCTTTAATTTTCGGTTATTTTTAGAAATTGATAATTCATGGAATTTATAAATAGATCCTAAAGCTTACATTTTTTTTTGTCTGCACTAAAAAATTCTTGCATTCTTTGCCATTTTTTATGGTATAAATTATTCTCACACATTAACTTATTTGTTTATTTCAGTAAAAAAAAGTGACGTTTTATCCCAATTTCAATTTTGATATCCTAAATTTGAATTTTTATAATTTTAGAGAATTAAATATTTAACTGAAAAAAAAAGCCTGATTATACGCTACAAAATGCTCATTTACCCAACCGGACAAGCCATGATTTTTCAGTCTATGTATACTTAGTGGGGATAATTTGTGTTTGAAGGTATGGTGCAATGTGAATGATATTGAGCGAAATGTTAGTGACAGTTAGATAAGAATATTTGAGACAATTGGATATGCTTATTGAAATTTATTCTGTTTTATATTATATATATTCATATAAATATAGACATAGATATATTATATATAAGTGTATTACTAATAAGAGTCTAAAAGAACTTAAAAGTCAAATAGATATATAAAATAAAAATTTGATGAAAGAAAATATGTGGGTATAATTAATTTTATAATAATAATTAAGGATAAAATAAAAAATAAAAATTTTGAATGCTCCATTGCCTTTGTTTGTGATATTTGTCTGTTAAAAAAAACCAAGTCCTGACACATTTGACTGGTAAGCAGTATTAAAAAAAGAAATCCTCCACTGCATACCATGCTCATGCAAGTACCAAAGCAGCAGTTACGATCACCCTCCAATTTATATTTGGGTCATGTCAGTACACACCCTGTTTAAGAAGTTCTCCACTTCTATTCAATTCAGAGCAGGCTAATGTTCACTCCACTTATTCTTCCAACCTGGAAGAAGCTGCAAATTGAAAACCCCCAAACCAACTTTGCATTGAAATTTATAGAGCGAGACAATCCTGAAATTAAAATGAAATTTCAGGGAAAAAATCGTTTAAGAGTCACTTAGAAAATACTATATCACAACCTGTGTCTGTAGGCATGTGCATATACAGATTTTGTCCAAATTGCAAAAAGCTATGCAGCATTTTCCTTGGAATCAGCATTATGACCCAGATAATAGGACTTTACAAATGGAGAAGATTGTATCGAAACTATTTTACAAGAATGTGTTTTGTCAAGGCATCTAAGCTTGAATTATACGAAGATTAGCTTCATAGTGAATGCAAAACAAGAAATGCAATGACTGGTTTTCCTTCATTGCAAATAATTACCGGGTTCAACAGCTGTTAGTGCTATGGATTTTGTGTGAATTTACATAAACGTCGATATTTGGATCAAAACTAGCACTTCATCAACCAATTGATCCTTCCTCACTTGATCTGCACTAGTTGTTGTTGCACAATCAGGACTGAAACTGATTTATCAACATCAGCAGAAGCAAGTATGTCTCCAATTGGTCCTAGCTCTGGCAATTCAATCCATTCTGTTAGGCCTGATAGCTGTGGCACATCCTGTCTGTGACGCCGCCCTGTTATGATAAGGTCAAAAGATCCCTCCATCTTACGAACTAGAGAGGCCGTGTCTGACCCATCTTTCATCTTTTCTTCTATATACTCTATATTTTGCTTGAGTGAAACCCGGAGCCTTATATCCCTGATCATTTCTGAATCAAGCATGACCTGCCACTGGTCCTCATCCAAACCATCCATTGAAAGAAGTCGAACAACTGTCAAGTGAACTCCTGACGATTTTGCCATACGCTTGCCATATGCCAGTGCCTCCCGATCATCATCACCTTCCAAGAAAACTACAGCCACACGATATACTGATGGCACCAATGAAATAGATGATACCTGGTGTAATTTGCGACGGTCAACAAGAATGCCTACAGAACAAGGAGCCATGTCCAGCACATGAAGGTTTATTGTCCTCAAAACACTGTTATCCAAAATCAATTTGCCTTGCTGATTCCATTTCCTATGAAATGGAAGTATGATGAGAGATGCCAACTTGTCAAAGGCCAACGAACAAATGTCATGTTGCATAAACATTGGAAGTGACATTGCAGTGAAGATTTGCACACTGACCAAACCTGAATGTTGCAGCTCATAGTACCGAAAGGCGTCTATTACTTGTTGCGAACGAGAGGCACGTGAAGAAGCCTTTTTGCCCAACCTATGGTTGATTAAGAGTGGAGAGGCTCGGCCAACAAGCTCCATCAGGTGTAGTCCATAGGCTGCAATGGGACTTTGTCTGGTAGGACTGGAAACTTCAAGAAGCTTTATAGCAGCCAAGGCATCGTCTTGTCGATGGGCGCATGCCAGTATGCGGAGCTCTGCATTATATGCAGTGTGTAGAATGTCTCTTTTCTGGTATCCTGTATATGTCCTTGAATAGTCATAAATAAGTATCACCAGGAGCCTTGAGCACGTTGCCATTACAATTACTGTGACACTCAGTGAGGCAAAGGTTTCGCCATCTATAGTCTGTGCTTAAGAGAGAGAGAGAGAGAGAGAGGAGAGTCATTTCTGTTGTTCAATAAGATGACAGTTGAATGTAAATGATTATAATTAAGATTCCTTCTCATTTGGAGTGTTCTTTATGAAAAAAGCTATTAAGACAAAACAAAACATGCCACCTAATCAATCGTGTAATTATATAAAAATTATTGTGATCCACCAAGTGAAATTCTTTTTTTAGCAAAATATATGCATGAAATATATTATATAAAGCGTCTACATATGGAAAATAAAATTTTCGACTTTTTGAGAGGGCACATGCAATTTGGGATAGGAGGAAAAGACGAGGACACTCAAAATGGGAAGGAAGGAGGAACTGTTTTATTAACTAGGAAATCTGTGGCATCACAGGCTTATCCAGCACAACCCTGAATTGTACAACTAATGAACAAACTAGTTGAGCTATGACACAATTTCTTTCCTACCAAGGGTAAAAAAATAAATTGTAAACATGACAGAATTAGATGTCTCCTTTATTTCAATCACCAACCTAAATAAGCAGAATCCAAGTAATAGCTAGGGAAAAAACCGGAGCTTGGGCAGCATCAACTCAGCTTAGTAGCACTCGTGAAAATTAATTTGCAATGTGTGGTTGTGCAGTGATTTGCTTATTTTCAAATCTTGAGAAAGCAGAGCTAACATAGTCTGACAGGTTTAAAACAGAGCTCATGAGTGAGCTCAAAGGTAGGACTAACAAGAAAACCTTGAAGATGACAGGCTAAGTAGAAATGATGACCATATACTTGGTTTAGCAAGGCCGGGTAGTGCAGCCAAGCAGGCTTCCCATAGTCACCTCCAAGAAGGTTGATGTGATCGCCAGCCACGTGCAAACACAGAACTTGTAACGTAAGGACCGAGAAACTCACTACAACAAGCCACACATGCACAATACAGCATCCATTTGCCATATTGAAGAGTACCTGCGAGTATTATCAATTACCTGATTCACAAAGATGTTCAGATATGAAGCCATTTCGACGATTCCCTGGGCACTTCCAATGATGGAAAGAGCAGCAGCATCTTTGACAGGCACTTTGCAAGGCAATGCCAGGAAAAAATGTACAATCAATTTTGTGAAAGAACTAACACCAATGATAAACCACATGGTTGTCAGGAATTTCAGATCAAAGACTTCAAACAGATCAATTTTCAATCCACAGTTTGTCACTACAAGTGGCGCTAACAACCCTGATATGAAAGTATCAAACCTATCTACCAGTGTTGACCCCAAAGGTGGCCCAGATGGAACACATAATCCAAGTATGAAAGGACCGAAGTGGTACTGAAGCCCCACATTATCACTGATTATGGCCATTGCCAGAACCAAGAAAGAAATGGAAGTGATGTGAACTCCCTTCACTGGTTTACCTTCGGGTGTCTGTTTGATGATCCATAACAATATTGGCCGCATGATAAAAATGATAATCAATAGCAAAGCAGTGGCTAGGAAAAAAGAATGTATCACATTTGCAGTCCCAAAACCTATCTGTCTAATTCTCAGGTTAGCTAGAATAGTTGATATCCCGGTACTTACTAAATCACTGATCAACGTTGATGCCAAAGCAAGGCGGCCAAGCTCAGAGTTCATAATTTTTAAGTCAATGACAAAGCAAGCAATGACAGGGAATGGAGTTAACGTTTGTATTGCTACTACAGCTGTAGCAGCCGGTATTTTCATAAGTGGCATCACTTGATCAAATGCTTCAGATATGCCCATGACTATAATTGTCGGAAGTACGACTGAAGAAAGCCCTATAATCCAGGCTTTCTTTCCACTTTTCCACACCATGCTCGGCTCCATCTTCACTCCAATCAGGAACATAAAGAAAATGTAGCCAATTCTTGATAACCCGTCGAGGAAAACTTCTCCTTCCGGTGGAAAAAGTGCCTTAGCAAAATTTAGGTTGATCCGTGGCAGAATAGTTGGCCCTAATATCACACCAGCCTGGTTGACACAAATCATCACAAAAAACCATATGTTAGCACACTGCATAATTTTATATTCTTCAATGTTCAAACTGAAATAACTGTCTTTCCATGCCACTAAAGGCATACTATACATACAAGAAAAAAATTCTGTGCAAAACAATTTTCAGAAATTGTTACAGGCATTGTTTTCTTCATCATTTTATAGTTGAAAGGCTGTCAGCATTTTGTTAATTAGATTTTTTAGATGTTAATTTGAGAGGTATCTCCAAAGGTCCATTGCTCAGTGGTAGAGCATTTTTTCCACTTTCACTTGAACAAAATAAAGGTACAGTAGATTTCATAACACCAAACTCTCTTCTAACATAGTTTTACAAAAAGGGAGGCAGTGCACAATACTCCTGCTACTATTGCAGTAGTGTCCCACGGAAGGGTTATATGTTCCCTACTTTATAGTGCAGCCAAAGAGGCTGCTCCCGTAACTCAAAATTATGATGCCATGTCTGCACTAATCTTACCAGTTGTGCCAATACCTGTCATCTCTCTTCTAACATTGAGAGTAGAAAAAAGGAATAACCTCCATTACATACATTATACGACAATGATACGATAAATTAGGATCTTTTTTATTTGCTCGTGGAAAAGAAGGAGGAAAGATCAATAGGTAATAACCCTGAACGTGACCATAAGAGTCCCCACTATGAAATGTCCAATTTGAGCCATAGTTACAAACCCAGGCAGTCCACCACCACAACATCAGCCAATTAGCCAATATGCAAACCGTGATGCTCCCATGAATCCAACCCTACTTGATAACCACATGAGAGTAAAAAATAACCTTAAACGAGAACGATTTACTACCGGCAGACTTACCACTAGACCACCGACTTGGGAGGTCAATAAGGATCTTTGCTTCAACATTAACGAAATATTTGTGAACAATGTGAATTAATATATTGAACAACTTCACAATGAAAGATTAAACAAAAGAAAAACCCCATTTGAGAGAAGATTAGAAGGATACCAGAAACTCAGGAACAATCCTAGGAAAGTGAATGCGCTTAAGCAATACATGAAGAGATTGAGTGATGATGAAAATTGCAGCCATTTGTAATAGAAGGCGTGGTAAAGCGTAATCTAGGAAGCCTCTGTCTTCATTACAGTTCCAAATGCCCGGTGAATGAAGAAGAATATTAACCTTGCAGAACTTTTCTTTTTCCCCAGGAAACTCCCCTTCCATGGGCGACCGACCACCCATCCAACCTCACAATGGTGGACTCTAGGTGTGAACCCACAAAAATTTGTGGCAATTTACAAACAAAATAGTAATAACACATCAATAAAAACTAAAAATTTGTGAAACAAGACCAGAGAGAGAAGACCCCTCCTACAGGCCAACGGCCAACTCGGAGAGGATCTATGGAATGGATGGAGCATGGGACTTGGATATGGGCAACCACAATTAGCATTAACGGCCAGAGTTTCAAGTTAAGTCATCACTGGTTTTTCATGGAATGAACCGAAAGTTCTGGTAAAATAGAACTCAACCTTGATCATGGATAACATAAAATGTAATTTTAGCAAATTTCGTCCCGTAGAATGTTACTTTGTTTCCTTGATTATTAATTTTATTTTTCGAGTATAGGGGCAAAAATAACACAAGGGACAAAAATAGGGAAGAGAATGAGATGAAACATAATGCAACATTAGGGACAATTATTGTATCTTATCCAATTTGTTATTTTGAGATTCATTATTGGTATGATTGATGTGAAATGCATGATGCACGGGTTGAATCTTGCTCAATAGTTGAGATAGTGAAACATGGTAAATGAATTAGAGTTCTTGTAATAAGGACCGAGGTTAGGTAGAGGGGGAGGAAGATATGTCCAACGTATTCCATCTGATGTTAGTCGGTGATCAAGCTTAGAGGATTGTGAGTACTGTATTAACTTGGTTGCAAGTGCGTACTTAAGATTTAACCCCTTGGGCAATTTATACCTTAAAGAGATAATAACTTGATATTTTGTAAGTTACATCAAGTAAGCAGATATTACATCCTTAGATATAAATTGCCCTAACTTGCGGTATTGAGCATTAAGTGCACGCTATCTAAACGTTTAATTCTTTTGTCTAGTATTTAGTAAGTTGTGTCGAACATTTATGAGATGCGCATCAATAACTAAATGATTCCTTGCTCGACCATTCTACATCAGTATGGATCATGTCTTTAGTCGAATATTATGGGAAATGCTGTGGTCCCAATGCGGTGTCACGGGACAACTAATCATTTCTTGCTATTTGTCGCATCTAAGGAATTCACATGTCCGTTTATTGTTATTATTTGGGCCCGAGATCATTCGCTTTTCCAATGGCTTTGTAAGGCCCGAGGGGATCCATACGAGTCACTTAGTAATAAGAGTGCAAATTCGTGTCCCACATAACCATGCGAATTATAATTTCTAAAGGTATTAATCAGTCTCTCTTTTTCTCACTCTATCTCACACATGCACACTCGCAAGGAGTGACCATGGTTAATTTTTGGTAACTCATGAATTGGTAACAAGAAAATGTTCGGTTCTTATTTGGGTATGCTCCAAAATACCTATTTTCTTCTTGCTCCATTCACCAATGAATGATTGAACGAAGTATTTCACCTGTATTATTGTCTTAAGAATTCAGAGACTTTCAAGTCACAGATTTTAGTTCATAAGAATAGAATCATGGAAGCTTAGAGACTGAATTCATCCCATTTTTACATAGCTCTAATAGGTGCAATCTGCTTTGTAGGAAAGAACCACCAAGATAAAAAAGATCAAGTCTACATTAAGAAGTAATACGTTCCTCTCTCTCTCTCTCCCTCTTTGTAGGATCATAAATTGTTGCTCTTCTCTTCTTTGATTTGTTCTGCTCTCTTTCGCCATAATCTCTGCTTTGATCTCTACATAATCACTCTTGTGAAATTGAACAACTACTTGATCCGTGGGCTTAATTATATGCAAGTCCTCATATAGTTTATGATACTGGAGCAACTGGACCTTCCTCCCAATTGCTTGCTTGCTTCCCAATCTTATGGAGAGCCCTCATGACTTCTTCCGTTGTTACGTTGCCGGTCACTGTGACCTTGTTCAGCTGTGCATCGACGTTATATGTTTCAATATCTGATAGCCAAAAACAATTTTTGTTAATTACCACTTTTGAGTAACCTCGAACTTTTTAGTTGACAAACACGAGCTAGTACCATTCAAGATTTTGGAAAAAAATTAATTATTGTGCAGCTATTAAGGCAATAAACAAAAAATATATACCTTCTATCTTTTTAATGGCCTTCAAGATTTTCTTGATGCACTCCTCACAGTGCAAACCCACCTTCAGCTCTACCACCTAAGGCAAAAAGAGAACAATTCATTGAAGTCATTAAAGAAAAAGAACCTGTACACTAGCAGAAAAAACTTGTTGCATAATTGTACTAAGGAGCTAGCTAGCTTACATTAGCCATTCAGTATGAGGGTTTGATCGAATTGCTCTGTATTTGAAAGATCAACTTGAACCTAAATATATTTGCCAGGAAGAAGAAGAAAGAAGAAGAGGAAGAGCTTTCAATGATTGGGGTTGTCAATCAACGCTTGCACCCATATATAAAGTAGTGGGTGAGGTATTTGATTCTTTTCTTTTTAGGTTTTTCATGTTTTTTTCCACTTTTTCAAAAGCTCCTTTAATCCTCTTATGTTGACCCAAGGGACACTAGATTCCACACAATGGGGCGGCTAGGCTCATACTGAAGTTCTTGTCAGGTTTTAGTGGGGCAAAGAAGAAGAATTATGCCTTTTTTCCGGGACGTCACTATTGTGATTGATCTGAACTTTCATGATCAGTGATCGAGCAATGGAGACAATTGTGATGATTTGGTGGAGTGGAATGGGGAAGGTAGTAAAGCTATTTTACAAGATGGCATTCTTTTTTCATAGCCCATAACTATAGTTTTGGAAGAAAATGACTTGATCAATAACTAGTTTGAAATGGTATCTAGCCAAACCCAAGGATAGTGCATTGCTGATTAGAGTGTTTGGAAGGAAAGAGGTTTTCGACACAAGAATAAGGGCACAATTGAAAATATATAATGCGTTAGGAATTGTAGAAGACAAAATTTGATAGGGTTATTAGTGTAATATAAGAAGTTTCCACAGATACATTTAAAATATCAAAAATTATAAGTGGTGAAAATAGTACGGATTATGATTTAGTATTTAATAAGACACTGGATTAAGAGTGGAATAATAAAGTACTACTTACGTTTTAGCAAAAAAATCATCAATCTTGTCTAGTTATTAATGTTTTTGTTTATTTTATGGACAAAATAATAAATTTATAACTTAATAAGCTTGAACTGGATAATTTATAACTTATGAAATGCTTGTTCTCTATAAAATCGGAGAAGTCATGGGATTGATATGTGCGAACGGAGCATGGAAGGTAGTAGTCGCCGATACAACAATTTAATTGGCGAGTACTAAGTATTGAGGATTTTGCAGATGCATTGGAGAAAGCATTTTTTGTTGGAGAATTCTTTTGCTTATTAATTACTAGTTATTGCACGTGCTTAAAAAGGCATGAAGTAATAAAAAAAATGATCAATAATAAATATATTTATATTCATATTCAAAATTAAATCAAAAGCATAGAAGGGAGAGAAAAGAATTTAAGTACCGGTTATAGTGGGGGTGAGCGGTGGTAGTGATGATAGGTGGCAGTGGTGGTGGTAGGAGACAGTGATAGTTGTGATGGATAGTGACTATCGCGGTGGTGGTGGTAGTGGGTTTTGGGTGACGATGGTGGTAATGATAGCTATGGGTGATGGCGGTAACGGTGGTGGATGTGGGTGGTGGTGAGCGACGGTGATTGTGGTTGGCAATGGTGGTGATAGCGGCGATGATGGGTTGTGGTGGTGGGTGACGACAGATGTTTTTGGGCGACATTGTGAGGGGTAGTGGCGAATGACGGCGGTGCTGGTGGTGATAGGTTACAATGGGTGGCAGTGGCGGTGGGCAATGATGGGTGGTGATGGTTGGTGGACGACAGTTGTAATAATTGGTGATTGTGGTGGTGGTGGTGGTGGTGGTTGTAGGGTGGCGATGGCGACGGTGGTGGTGGGGTGACATCAGTGGTGGTGAGTTAGTTCCAAACACTACTTTTTAAAGTATTTATAAAAAGTTATAAGTCATAGAAACAGTTTTGAAAAATCTCCACAAATATACCATTAAGAGCATATTTTTTCTATTAAATTTGGGGAGTTCATATTAGTCATCAGATTAACTTTAAAATAAATTTAACGAGATCTCAATCACAAAAAAAAAAAAAATTATTTTATTTATCTTTTGAAATTTGAATTATATTTTACTTTATTATATATATGTTGAATCCATGTTAATTGAAAGAGAGCCAGGAATCAAAGAGGGAGTGATTGATGATAGAGAATATGGGTTTACTATTTTAAAATTAATTTGGACAGCATCTAAACAATAATATAAAGACATGTACTTAATTTGGGGGCCTTTTTCTTAGGGGTTCTAAGCAAACATTTAATAAGTTGCTTTATATATAGATATTAAAGATTCGAGAGAGAGAGATAGAGTGAAGAATGAGGAGTAAAGTAAAATTCAATGTAAATGCTTTAAAGAGGGATGTTGGTGGCTATTGGATGAGTGTATTTGAGATTGTCGGATGAGCTTATTAAAGCCTGCTTTATTTTATATTATAGACTAGGTGTCGTGTGCGACGCATCGCGCATGGAATTATAATTTGTGTTTATCCTGTTCTTTTTTTATTTTATTACTTGAGCAATGGTCCCAAACAATGTATCCTTGTTCCTGTAAAAAAAATTCAACATTTTATATTATTGTTGAGTTTGGAGGACTAACACACTATTCGAGATAATATTTAGAGAGAAACAGAGAGAGGTTAAGAACATAACCTAGCTCTCATATATCATTTATATTTATAGTTAACCTACAATAATAAGAATTATACATACACCCTCTTACTGTTAATAAATTACACATTCTACGCTACTATTCTTAACACTCCCCTTCAAGTTGGACTATATATATCATATAATCCAAGCTTGGAACAAATAACTGTAAAACGTGTACGACTCAATATTTTGGTAAACATATCTGCAAGCTGATCTTTAGATTTCACAAATGGAGTTGTAATCTCCCTAGCTACTATCTTGTCCCGAATAAAGTAACAATCAACCTCAATATGCTTAGTTCTCTCGTGAAACACAGGATTGACAGCTATATGGATAGCTGCATGGTTGTCACAAGAACAACTGTAAATGAAGTTGAACTGGAAACCTAATTTCTTGGAGGAAGTGTAGTAGCCAAGTCAACTCACTCGTCGTATGTGTCATTGCCCTATACTCAGCCTCAACACTGGATCTTGCTACCACGGGTTGTTTCTTACTTTTCCATGAGACAACATTACCTCCTAAGAAAGTACAATAACCAGTTGTTGATCTCCGATCAGAAATAGAGTCAGCCCAATCAGCATCTGAGAAACCTTCCACTCTAAGATGTCCATTAGCTCAATATAACAGTCCAAGTCTAAGAGCTCGTTTGAGATATCGCAAAATACGAGTAACTGCCTCTTAACGTGGTACTCTAGGACATCTCATGAACTGACTTACTATACTGACTGAATAGGAAATATCCGGTCGAGTAATAGTGAGATAATTAAGTTTTTCAACCAATCTGCGATACCGACTCAGATTCTCAAACAGTGCACCATCATCCATCAATAATTTCTGATTTGGATCCATAGGAATATCAATCGGTCTACCACCCAGTAAACCTGCTTCCTCAAGCATGTCAAGTACATATTTCTTCTAGGATAAACAAATATCTTGTTTAGATCGAGTCACCTCAATACCAAGAAATACCTGAATTTTTCCAAATCCTTAGCATGAATCGATCTTGTAAGAATATTTTTAACTTAGCAATTCCCTCAGAATCAATTCTAGTAATCACAATATCATCTACATAGACCACCAATAGGACATATCCAGCCTCTGTCTGTTTATGAAACACAGAATGATCTGTCTGACATCGAAAAAGACCAAACTCTAAAACTGCATTTAAAAACTTACCAAACCATGCTCTCGGTAACTGCTTCAAACCATACAAAGATTTCTTTAACCGACATACACTCTTACCATACTCCCCCTGAGCAATAAACGCAGGTGACTGCTCCATGTATACCTCTTCAACCAAGTCACCATGTAAGAAGGCATTCTTGACGTCTAACTGAAACAAGGGCCAATCAAGATTAGCAGTTAAAGAAATCAAGATATGAACAGAGAAAATTTTGGCAACAGGAGAAAAAGTTTCCTCATAATTAACACCATAAGTCTGAGTAAAACCCTTTGCAACAAGCCGGACTTTGAGACGTTCCACAGAACCATCTGGATGAAATTTAATAGCATATACCAAACGACAGTCAACAGTTCATTTACCAGAAGGTAATAGAACTAGATCCCAAGTCCCATTATGATGTAAAACATTCATCTCCTCCTCCATAGCTTTCCTCCAACCCAGATCAGATAATGCATCCTGTAAATGCTTAAGAATAGATATAACAGATAATTGGAAAGTAAAAGAGGAGAAGACGGGAGACAATGTATCATATGAAACAAAATGAGAAATGAAATAATTAGTAACATAGGAACGAGTACCTTTGCGAATAGCAATAGGTAAAGAGTCTAAATTACCTGATGTACCAAGATCAGAAGGCGACAAGGAAGACGGTGCGGACACCTCAGTCAATGGGCGAGGATGACGAGAGTAGACACGGAAGGTAAAGGAGATGATAACACAATGGGCAGCGGAACATCTGAAGATGAGGAAAGAGAGGGTGATATAGGAGAAGATCCAAGGGCTGAGAAGGTACTAGAAAGTATGGAACAGATTCTTCAAACATGACATCGGCACTAGTAAAATATCGGTGCAGAGAAGGACTATAGCAACAATACCCCTTCTACGTGCGTGAGTAACCAAGAAATATACATTTAGTAGCTCGAGGGTCAAGTTTGTCAAACTCAGGACCCAAATTGTGAACATAACAGACACAACCAAAAATCTTAGGAGTAAGGAAAAATAAGGGCTTACTAGGAAAAAGAACAGAATATAGACTTTGCCCATTTAATACAGAAGATGACATATGATTGATAAGATGACAAGCAGTAAGAACAGCATCACCACAATAATATCAGGGAATATTCATCTGGAATAACCGGGCATGGGTTACTTCCAACAAATGACGGTTCTTGCGTTTAACAACACCATTTTGTGAAGAGGTGTAAACACAAAAAGTCTGATAAATAATGCTAGTTTTATTGAGATAAGCTGAAAAACGATTAGATTCATAATCCTGAGCTTTATTGGAACATAAAGTACGTATACGACAACCAAACTGAGTTTTTATTTCCTTACGAAAAGTCAAAAAGATAGAGAATAATTCAGACCGAGCTTTTATAAAAAACAACCAAGTCACACGAGAATAGTCATCCACATATGTCACAAAATAAGGATATTTATTAGATGAAATATTTTTTATTGGACCCCATACATCAGAATGGACTAATTCAAATGGACTAGACACACGATTATGG